CCAGTGCATCTTCTGAAAGGGATGGTGTCTGATTTAAATGCTGAAAAAATACATCATATTTTCCCCAAGTTACCCAATACACACTTTGGATAAGAGTTGTATGTCAATCTTCATTGTTTCCAATTCCCCTTTACCTTCTTTTACCGCATTTTATTTTGAATTACCACTTAAACAATGTTAATAGGTTGCTTTCTGTCCGCAAACGTTCCTTAGTAAAGTCACAAACTGCTCTTTTCCTGTGGGTCACATGTTAACGTTCTGCGAAGGTGTTGAGTAAAGTGGAGTTTAATGTTTGGTATTGCAATATGTAAAATACAATTTCCTGACCTGATGTAAAAGACGAAAGTACTAAAAAGTAACTTTTCTTGACATAACAAGATTTAGACTTTCAGAAAGTACATGAAGGCAAATTATTGGCATGCATGACCCCGGGATGTCCTGCCGTAACATTAGTGCTAGAACATATTCAACATGGCTGAGCAGATTTATACAGCTTCCACAAACGTTTTCGTTTCGAATCGTAATTATAATTAAATTTCTCGTATTTTTATCTCGGGGAAACTGTCGGTTAGTGAAGCTGGAGTTGGTTTATTTTTTAATTTTTGTATTCGGCACAATTTCGAGCCGACTTTAAGTTCAGGAAGATCTTCAACCAAAGAAAAATGTTGATAAATTATATCCCATGATTATGTATGCTCATCCACCCACCGCTCGTCACATAGCCAACGCAGTAGGCATTTCTCATGAGAGAGCTGAGCTATCGACACCTTTGACCTTTATTCATTTGTGTAGATAATACCATGGCATTCACAATTCCCGATGAACATGTATTGTTGACTACCTACATGACCCTCCTGAACAGATATAATGTTCCAGAAATGTTTTAGTGAACTACGGAACCTTGTGTTTCTTTTTCAGTAATGCTATAATTCAGGTCCCCAATAATACACCATGAGGAATAGCGCCTATATGTGCCTGATGTTGCATATACAAACCTACTCAGTAGTACGTGACGACGGTGATCGAGTCTGTGAGCTGGAACGTTCTTGTAAATGCATTTCAGTCATATCGCTGATGAGCATAATGTGTCTTTGCATATTGTTTCACGCCGCACTCAACGATATTCCAGCCATACGACATCGGCCTGTAAATAACATGGACCAGACAATACTAGCGCTGGACATCACCATGAGGAATAGCGATTATATGTGCCTGAAGTTGCATATACAAACCTACTGCATGCAACAGTATGTGATGACAGTCTGTGGGCTGCACGGAATATTCTTTTAAATGCATTTTAGTTGTACTGCTGGTGAGCATAATATGTGTGTGTGTGTGTGTGTGTGTGTGTGTGTGTGTGTCCCCTAATATGTATCTATCTATCTATATATATATATATATCACAATCTCCCTGAAGAGTAAAGAACGAAACATGTTGGAGAAAAAGGCATTCTGTTTTTATTTATCTATGTGATATATATATGTGATATATATAATTTTGACAGTATCAAATTATCAACCCATATAAAATTGAAAAGGAGCCCCAGAGATTGGGAGATTCAGGAGAAATCTAGACTTGCTTCATTTATGGCTTTAGCATTGCAGGGAGGGCAAGACAGTAGGGAATATAATGTGATTCAAGGACTGTGAGACAGATTAGGACCAGACAATACATCATCAGCATAGATCTACGCAATTGGGATACAAGCATGGGTTGCCGAGGAGCAAGTCGAACCGGGATCTTCAAGGGTACCTTAATGTGTGAGGAGGGCCCAAAGGTATTTCACTTGTAGACATAATGCAGTTTTGCGAACTCTACGGTAATCAAAGCAAATCTGAAATTTGAACATGAGATCAGCACATCCGACTTTACTGAAAACTATACCAAGCGGTGTAAAACCCAACACACTTGGTGCCAGAGTACTAACCTTATATAAGCTCGGTACAACTATGTAGAACTAGGTGACCTGTTGATTGACCTTGTCAGCCAAGTACGTCACGAGGCGTGGTATACATGCCTCCAGCAGATTACCTCCTATATATATAGAACAGATATTATCTCAGGATTGACCAAAAACAACCCTTATATAATCGACATAGATGTATGGCGTATTTGATTCTTGAGTGAGCGTATGTTGTTTTGTGCAGTAGTCACTAATTAATGAGCTCAGGATTATGTGATTCTCCAGTGAACTAGTGAGCGTCGTTTTACCCCACAGTTTAAAATCGACAAGGTGCATTTGGTACTTCGCGGAGTGAGTGTTGAGTTGCGCTACATTCATATATAACTCACGTGAATGAGTCGGTGCATAAATGGTGTTCGAACGATCGGATTGACCCAGCATAAAATTCAGATTAAAGGAAGCGATACCTCAAGGCTGGAAAACCTAAATTAGCCCGCACAGGTGCTTTTGACCCCAAAACATGGCACCAACGTAAATACTATCACTGACGGGATCCTTTTATATTGGTGTCTGGTTTTTGCTTTAAAGGCCCCTGGGAAACGGTCCATTGATGTCAAAATGGAAACAACTTTCTGTACCAGTGTCCTTACTACAAGACTTCCGTGTGGAGAAAACAGTAAATTAATTATGCGCGATAAAGAAATTTTCGTTAGGGAGCAGCGTTTTGTATGAGTGCTCGATGACGTCCTTAATTTGTTGGGATTCTGAAAAACAAACAATTCAAACCAAAATGTTAGTTTGTGATATCTTCAGGCGGGTTATCTAAATATGTCACAACTACAGAGTGAATCTCTGACATGTGTTTATCAAATCGTCGTTTTCCTTCACATTTCTAAAGACGTACACTCCTTGGCACCCCGTCATAAATATGATGTTATGGCATAGCAGTTTATTCAGAGAAGCACCCGTGAAAATCCGGGTTAGAATTGATCTTCAGTAACCCATACTTGTCGTAAGAGGCGACTAACGGGATCGGGTGCATGGTCAGGCTTGCTGACTTGGTTGACACATGCATGGTATCGTATCCAAATTGCGTAGATCGATGCTAATGATGTTGATTACTGGATTGTCTGGTCCAGACTCGATTATATACATAGCACCGCCATCTACCTGGGACAGGGGTGGATACAGCTTTTTGAGAAAGGAGGGCACACTTCACCGAGTTTCAATCATTAATACATTTTCAGGACAAAAGGCGGGGCGCGACAACCCCCACACCCCCACCCACACACCCTCACACCCACCCCGATCCGCCTATGTAGAATATTCACAGAAACTTATTCAAAGAATTCAGAGAAGCAAACGTGGCACAAAACTGTCTCATTTTGTAACGATGAGAACTATGGTCATATTACGTGAATAAGTGCAGTCATTCTCGAGATTCTGGCATATAATCCTCAAGGAATCACATAGATATCAACAGGATCTACAGCATCTTCTATTCTCCCTGGTATCAATAACCAAGCATTGTCAGTATGTAACCCCCACCAACTGCAGTAACATCCCTGGCCCTCCACCTCATTGACTGTATGAGGCGTTAAATTTGACGTTGAGGATAACAACCAACATCTCTTACAATTAGTGGTGTAATGATTCATTGATAGTATCCATGTTAACATCGTCAACTACGCGATACGAGTGCATCGATATAAAACACATTTAGGCAATGCATCAGGATATTTATATCGCTAGGGTCCATGATACATCGATGTATCGCCACAAGAGACGATATATCCCGCATTAGGAACAAAAAAGGAGTCTCTTTGAAATTCTTCAGAATTTTTAAAACAAATTGAACCTTAAAGGAATTTGTTTGTGTCTGTTATCTTTGTTACATGATCAAAGGAGTTGGTGTATAAGTCACAGAGTGTGAACATTTTACAAACTCTGTGAACTGTAGAATACTTGTCTTCAAGTAATTGAAATATGTTTTAGTTGTTTGACAAATAACACCATTTATTAACAACTATGAACGATGTCTTAGCTTTGTTAAGAAAGAGAACAAAGAGAAGATAAAACTTGAAAAGCAGACTTAGGAGTTTTTTTCAGTGATTCTGAATTAAATCTGAGTTGTTTGTGAAAGCATTGGAGTAGAAACACAACTTCCCAAAGGAAACTTCACTTTCAAATTTATATATATTAGATCAAGATATGTTTGACTGTACTTTCTTAAGCATTAAATGCTGAAACGTTATTAGATGAACAGCTTTTTAAGTGTGTGTGAATGTAACACAAATTCTGCTGTATAACAAATAAAGTTTCAGTCATTTTATCTACAATATCTGTTCTGTACTTAGAAACTGTAAAGTATCGGGGCATGTATCGTATCGCCTCCATTGCATCGTGATGATAATCGTTTCGCGGGTTCCTTGCCAATACCTTAAAGATATATCGTCTCGCCTTAGCAAAGAGGTATCGGGATACATGTATATCGTCTCGCCACTTAGGCCACGATACACATTTCTATTTACAATAGCCCTCAGTGACATGCCAGCATTCACATACCAATATATATAAGCAGTTGTCAGTTGAGGGGGCCCAATATTTGCTAATAAACAATGAAATGAATTGATTCCAAGTTATCGAGCTGTAAGACCAGTTCTCTGAAACTTGATATTTTCTTAATGTCGTTTACGTCATGCTCGCCATTGATCGTAGCATGTTTATATCTCGAATCAATGCATGGTGCACCAGAAGACCAAAAGGAACATAAATGGCCATACGGGTGTTGCGATACGTTTATGCAAGTGTATAATTCATTCAACAATCAAAATGACTCCGAATCATTGCTAAATATAATCCAGTCTGATTATGATTCGTGTGTTCATGGAGAAAGTTTGTGTTTTGATGGCCTTGAATTTTAGAAACAAAATTAACGTACATGCATGAAGATCATTTTACGACGGACTTTTTACCCAGTTCATCTGGAAATTCTGGATCCAACCAGTAATCCCGTTTAAAATGTATCAAATGATCAAGGGGCGATAACTGAAGTAGAGTATGTATGATCATTGATATTTACTTATGCTAAAAACGTGGTAGCAGCGAGCGAGGTTAACTCGAGTAAACCAGTCAACTTCGTATGACGGTCAGTTGCGTCAAGTGTTCAGTGGCGCCGATTGTTGCTGCACAAATTCATCCAATTCGGAATGGCGTCTCTCCATAATGTAGGAAGATCGCTTGCAAGATGCACAGTACAGAATGTTGCGAGAAGGCCGAATATCCGTAAGTTTTCTCTGAGCGCTGCCTGTTTCGATAGCTGTCAGAATCGTTTCTTTGCGAGTCTTTGATTGTCTGTGTAATGTATCACAGGTTTAACATGTAGTAATAGTGATGCACATTGCATGCTGATTGCATAGTGTGTCAGTTTGATGTTATACATTGCGATGCTGTGTTTCCGTCTTATATTCAACAGTTGCCCGTTGTGTAAGCGGTCAACTATTGATTTAATCGTTGCATGGGCGTTCGGTAGCAGCATCACTGAGAATGAAGAATGTTAAGCGACTTGCATCACCCAATTAAACATAAAGTTCGTCGTTTTCTTTCATTCAATTAATTAAAATTTAACATGCAGCTTATGAAAACGTGTCAATTTAAAAAACCAAACAATTACCGTGTCATCAACATTAATATTCTCTTTATTTTATTAATATTTGGCTGTCATTTATGTTAATTTTAAATGTCATTGCACAACTTGTGGTAATGTAATTTGTCCCAAATTGTCATTACTCATATGTTATAAGGGTGAGGTGAGAGAGATTGGTGTTAGGACTGAATCTAGATTTACAGCTAACCACATAGACTAAGGCTTAGTCTCTGAATATATATAATTTTGATAGGAACAAACAAGCCCATTTATATTAAAAAGGAGCCCTAGGGAGACCAGAGATTCAGAACCTGAGGAAATCTAGACTTGCTTTATTTAGGGCTTTAGCACTGCAGAGAGGGCTAGGCAGTAGGGAAATTAATGTGGTTCAGGGACTGTGAGACAGACTACTAACCACACTCCCTCCCCAACCAAGTTTTGTCATTAAACAGGAATGACCAGTCCCTTATTAGCATTATGCATTCCTTTACAAAATTCTGAAATGAGTGGAACATTCAATAATGTGAAAAATTAATATGTCAGGGTTTTTTACATTAAAAGATGCCAGTGGCAGGAAATGCTCTGAACTGTAGACAAAGTTTGATATTTCACTCAACTAACCTGTGTGTTATGCATGTACCTTCCAAGCTATTGTGGATGAGATATAAATCATATTAGGAGCACCTGGATATTCAGTGTTCACATTACCATAACTATTCCACCAAGTATACTGTGTCCCCATTACCATAATTATTCCACCAAGTATACACTGTTCACATTACCATAACTATTCCACCAAGTATACACTGTTCACATTACCATAATTATTCCACCAAGTATACACTGTTCACATTAGCATCTTTATTGATTCTTGAATATGTGCACTCACATCATCAAATAAATATTATACTGAAGAGTACAAGAAACTATACCTCCCAGTTAATTTCTACCATATATGTTTGCTTTTAGATTGAAAATATCTTAAGTTATCAATGCTATTTTTTAAAAATGAACTAATGGCACTTTACTTAATCAGCACTCAAGAAATAACCCTGCTTGACATTAGAATTTAAAAACAAATTGAATCAAAACTTTAAAACTAAAAATAACACACATCTGCTGATTCTTGTCTAATCTTATCTTTAAAAATGAAAGAATTTGCTTTTTTGAACATTTGAAACAGGAAAGCCCATGCAAGTCTACATTATGTGGCAAGTTTAGATTTCCAGTTTTTGAAAATGCAGAAAGTCTAAGGGCACCTTTTCATTATATTTTGTTTTATTATAAACTGTTTTTTTCTGTAAAATATGTTCATTCAGAGAATAGTTGTTAGTCTAACCTTTAGCCAGCTTAATTAATTGTAATGATGGTTTAGATGAAGATGCGTATCACTTAATACTTTTAAGTCCAATTTATGATGATATTAGAACAAAATACATAAAGGAACATTTCTATCAGAATCTAAATGGTAACATATTGTACATTAATGACAAGTGTGGCTATACTGTTAAACATGTATTTGTGTACATATTCCTAGTGATGTATGAAGAAATGTATCCTGTAATGAGGTTGTAACGCACCAGAAATCATGTACTAGAGGCCTATAGTCTTACCTGTTTCATGAATAAAGAATGAGGACTGCGTACAGTATGGGTTTTTTCACTTGTTTTTTTTATTCCATTTCAAGTCAGTACAGTATGTTAACATCTGTCAAGTTAGTTGTCAGCAGATACTTTATCTTTTAGGCAAACAAATAAATAAATAAATAAATAAATTTTTCCCACTCACCTAGATATATGTTGTGACAGGTCCTTGACATAATACACATACCATGACCCACATTTCTTGGTGCAAATATAGTCATGAGTAAGCAGGTCAGGTTTTTGAACCAGGCTTTGTTGCCACCAGAGAATTGACAGGCATATAGGTCAGAGGTCAGTGAGGCCTTGACACTGAGTTGGGATAAAGAGCCTGGTATTTGGGGATTCATGGTTTGAATTGTCCCCTATATGTACATGGTTAATGATCAGGGTCCCATCCACAAAGCATTCATAGCGCTACCACATTCGTCAGCCTATGATAAACTATAGAGTTACGACAGGCCGTAATGTTATGTACGCTTTGTGGATCGGGGCCTTGGTGATCAGATCACAGGAATAAAAACCTTATCAGCAGCAGCAGCAGCAGCAACATCAATAACAACAACAACAATTACAACAATTCTTTGTATTCCTGTGGTCAGACTTGGTGACGGTTGAATAACAGATGGTTTAGCTCGATTATTTCCAGGTGTACATCAGAAAGACAAAATGTTAATATTTTTCAGAGATATTTATTTCTGAAACAAGAAACTTTGCTGGTCAAAATCTAAATAAACTTAGACTTTTCAATTATTTACAAACTTCTGTAATGTTAAAATCAAGAGAACCTACTTTCGTAATCCACAGATTGGTGGATGTACAGTTTATCTGTAGCTTTACATAATGGCTTAATGTTGTATCAGTTTAACATGTTTAAAATGCAGGTTCAGAATGGTTTGTGAAACCCAGTCAGATGTCAGCTCCAGAAATCATTCAGGCTCATTTCCCTATCACCATGGTTCACATATTTTGATGTTAGCACCAAAACTGATGCTACAGAACACAAATAGTCTGAAAAACAGCAAGATTTTAAAAATATCCACAACAAAGCAGTCGTTCAGCTTAGTTTTTGTGGATATGATTCCAGCAGAAGTTAAAAAACCTTTAAGTGTAAATGTAACTATGTGACTCCAACTTAGCAGACATGGCAGCCATATTGAAAATATTGAAATCATCTGTTCAACAATATTTGAACTTCTACCTCTATAAACAATATGAACAATACTTGATCATTAACAGGTAACTGTATAAACTGTATTCTGTGTCTATCGTTTTATCAGAGTCAGTTCGATGTCAGGCCTCTGCTGCTGCTGTGAATGTTCAGCCAGTGGAAGATGAGCCCGCAGCGCCGATGGTGAAAACTCCCATCCCGGGACCCAGATCCAAGGAGCTGTTGAAGGACCTGGAATCAATACAGGTGACCTGATAGGAGGACCTGATAAACTTGGGGGACAATTGAATTCATGTACCTGGGATCGGAAAGGACAATAACATACCCAAACTAGTCTAGGTTTGAGCTTATACTCTGAATGGACAATATGATATGTATCACAACACTTTGTTCAAGATGTAATTAATGCTGAAGATGTCGATTTTCGATACGGGTACTACAGATGTGTACCCCAGGTACATTTCTGTATAAAGAAAGGTACCCTAGTCAAAATCAGAATGCAGAAATGTGCCCTAGGACGATTCCATTCCGCACTGTGTCGTTTTCTTGATCGGAACATTCATACTGTTGTGTTAGATCAGGGATACTCTACAACAGGGATAGGTCACTCGCTTGCTTTCTTTACCATTTGTACTAATTAACGTGTGCCTCGTCATGCTCCAACGCACACAGTGACTTGGTTCGGTCCCAGCGCAACTTCGGCTGCGTTTAACAGTACTTCAGCCAGTGTATTGTACAGGTCGGAATTTTACAATAAATGAATGAATGAATTAAGAGCAAGAATTTTATGTGAATGAATGAAAGAAATTAAGAAAAAGAACAAAAGAAAAAGAACATGTGAATGAATGAAAGAATAAATGATACACCACGGCCATCCCTCCCCAAACATGTTAAAGAACGCAAAACTATCGGTAGAACACGTGTTAACATCAGCTGTCCTTTTCATAAAAAATCTACTTTGAGACATTTTTTTACATTAGTAACTAATTCAGATATCTTATTGCATGTGTGGAATGACATGGGCATTGACAGAATGTTAACTGACACTGTCACAGACCCCTCAAGAACAGAAAGTTTAGAACTATCACAAAGCGTTGTAAACACCTTTCCAGTTTTATCACATACTAAGATCAACAAGAAAGAAAGAAGTTTTAGAACTATAACACTCAAGCATCACAAGCACCAATGGCGTATCAGAACAGATCAGCGATATGTCATATTTTTTACACACCTCAAATACACACTAACAAAAAAAAACTATGTCTATTACTTGCAAAAAACTTTCACCTGATGGTATATTCCCCTCATTCAAATTAAAGGTGTATGTGAAAGATGTTTTAGAACAATAACTAGAAACACTCAAACAACGCCCTGTAGTATTTCAATGGCAGGTCGGCGATATGTCATATTTTTCACACACCTCAAATACACACTAACAATTTTATTAAAATTATAAAACTATTACTATTACTTGCAAACACCTTTCACCTGATGGTATATTCCCCTCATAAAAATTGAAGGTTTATGTGAAGATGTTTTGAACACTAACTAGAAACACTCAAACAATGCCCTGTAGTATTTCAATGGCAGATCGGCGATATGTCATATTTTTACACACCTCAAATACACACTAACAATTTTTTTAAAATTATAAAACTATCACTATTACTTGCAAACACCTTTCACCTGATGGAATATTCCCCTCATAAAAATTGAAGGTGTATGTGAAAGATGTTTTTGAACACTAACTAGAAACACTCAAACAACGCCCTGTAGTATTTCAATGGCAGATCGGCGATATGTCATATTTTTCACACACCTCAAATACACCCTAAAAATTTTTTTTTAGTTATGAAAATATCACTATTACTTGCAAACACCTTTTAACTAAAGGTATATTTCCCTTCTAAAAATTAAACGAATATGTGAAAGAAGTTTTTAGCGATATAATTTAGTCTTTCTTCGCTGTGTACTGAGAACTGAAGCCAGTGAGCTACAACATGCCCACTTGAAACTTTACTACAAAGCTACTGTACTTATACTGACACTAAAAACAAGTATTTGACTTAAAATGAAGTGACAGAATAGGTAACTTATCTTCTACGTGTAGGTTTTCAGTTGTCACAACACTCAGCGTATGTAATCAGCTGTTGAAAATAAACCGGGCTCAATCTTAAAAACTACGCTGCCGCCATATTGGCTGCACTGGTCACATGACGAGCCGAGGCATAGCTTAGGAGCTTTCCGAGGAGTGACCACTCCCCCTTATAGAGTCTCCCTGGTTAGATGCATCTGATTTTTGTTATATAATAAACAACCATGCACAGTAACGGAGATGTCGCGGTGCACAATACCACTCTCAATCAGTTGAACAGGAACAGCAACATATGGTTTCTGTTTTAGATTGCGGAATATTGACTCGTCCGCCGTTATGGGTACTGGTTACATTTCTGTATTTTGACTTTGTTTAGGGTACATTTCTTTTTACAGAAACGTACCTGGGGTATATATCTGTAGTACCTTTGCTGACAACCACCTCTCCAGCATAATTAACAGAATCTGCTTTGATGTAAAATCATGTGAATGGCTTCTAATATTTCCAGCTCTCTAAATTAGCCTTTATCCTCTGATATCATCATCAGTTTCTGTGTGTTTGTTGAGTTTACTTATGCTAAAAATATTTTTAAATGATGTCATATGGTTTTCATCTTGCTTACTGAAGTTTATTTGCAAGTTTGAAATATTCAAAGATGTTTTCTCTTGTTTCTTCACTTGAAGCAATACAGTTTCATTTTCTTACCACTAGTGAAAAGGTTTCATAATAGTGTAACCTTTAGATAAGCTTTCTCCAGACTGCTTTTTCAGTCCTCAAAATCTGGCTTATCTGCGGTCAAAGACGGTAACATAATCACGTGGTAACATCTGGTGATCACAAAATTTAAAAACGGTAAAAATGACAAAGAGTTGGATATGTGCAAGAGATAAGAGTTCAATATACAGTATAAAATAACTCTAAATTTACAGTATTACTGTACTGGAATGTACTGCAGGAGAACTGAACCGCCAGTCTACGTGTGTTTAGAATTTGTAAACATAATTTCCTGTTGAAAAAAGGAAATGGAGAATAATAGCTCTAAACTCTAATAATTCTTACACAAATTAAGTACATTGAATCTAATATTCTAAAATGAATATATTTGTCAATAATTCAAAGCTAGGATCATTTAGAAAATTGTGATAATTGTCCAGACTTTGTGAAACCTCATTGTGTCATTGCTTAAAGCTGTCAAGTATCTCTCTTTCATTGTACATGTGTATTGGTTTGCTCATCCAAGATGTTTTGTATATAATCTATATGTATATGTGTATGTTGCTGAAATGATTTTTTATGTCTGGTGCTAATGATAGTTGCCTGAGTGTAAAATAACAGGTTTTTTTGTGAAAGATTGTGTCTCAAACAGTATGGGAACTCATTTAAGACGTTTAACCATGCTGTTAGTGTAATCATCAACTGGCGCTGCAAACCATTTTGAACCCTGATGGTTACGTTGCTGTTGTTTATTAATGATGGGAAACATTCAGTATTGTTTCATTTGTGTACATGAGGCCTAAAAAAATAATGTTCTGGTTCCGATTACCCGACCGACCCTTCAATTCTTGTGCCAACCCTAGTTTTTTTAAGTGGAATGAATACAATAAGCTTTCAGATACCATTGCTTTTTCCCGGGCACTGACAGACATCGGTCATTCTGATAGAGAAGGTCGACATGATGGCCGCAAGCTTGGTTGAAAAAACAATTACACATTGATACTTTACTTAAAAAAAAAAATGTAAATTTTATTTATAAAAATTCCTACCTACCTACCCTAAATTTTAAAGAGGTGAAATCGGAACCACAACATTTATTTTATTCGTCCAGATTGATACATAATTATGCTTGGCATATTTTAGATGAATGGTGCATGTTATAGATATGCAGAATTACCCAATGTAAATCTCACAAAACATTGGTTTGACTTCCAAGAACTCTGAAGCTGTTCAGTTCTTTGTGGACTATGACAGAAGCCATGGCAACTACATCACAGATGCTGATGACAATGTTCTTCTGGATTTGTACACCCAGATTGCTTCAATACCCATTGGTAAGACAATTTCACTTGATTATGTACTTGTGATATGGAATACATTCTGCCCATTGTCAATATTGGTGATGGATTATTTCTTTACCACATTCTTAGTGTCAATGTACACCTCCAGTTGATGCTAGGAAACAAGTTCTAGACATTCCCTTCACATGCCAGGAAACATGCTCTAGACATTCCCTTCACATGCCAGGAAACATGCTCTAGACATTCCCTTCACATGCCAGGAAACATGCTCTAGACATTCCCTTCACATGCCAGGAAACATGCTCTAGACATTCCCTTCACATGCCAGGAAATGTTTTCTAAACATTCACTTCACATGCCAGGAAACATGCTCTTGACATTCCCTTCACATGCCCATCTTGTTATGCTAATTGTTGCTGCACTTCTGGAGCAATACTATCATCTACTGTAGTGATATGTGTACATTGCATTAACTGATGAATCCTTAAGCTTTGCTTGTTGTACTATGTTACTGAATATATGTGAGCCACTTATTTAGTGAACACCATGGTTCTGTAGTTCACCTTCACAGACTTGCGATTTTAGCTGACAGAGGACCGTTCTTCAGTATCTTTGCAGTATAAACCCCCCTTAAAGCAATTTATTTTTCTGTAGGACTCTTATTTTTCACAGCAGCTCTGTTATGTCCAAGATGCAAGAACTAATCCAATGACAATCAATTCATTAATGATGTCATATGCTTCTAATTTGCTACACCCATTATGTCTTAAATTTTCAAAATGTAATCAAACAGAATATATCACTTTTAAGAAGAATGCCAAATTCTTCATATTACTGTGGTTGTCTGTCATTACAGATGAACTATAGAAATGAAGCATACAGCTTTATGCATAACTTCTTGTTTATTGTATGGAGCAACATTTCGATGTAGATTCTTACACCGTTATCAAGTTTGTTATCCATAAAGTTGTTTGCTTCATTTTTGACTCACCAACTTCTGGAATGCCGATCAAACAATCAGATACACTATAGTGATATGAAAGGATCAGGTGTTCTTAACTTCTTGTGAGTGGTATATAACAACATCTAGAGCAGTATATCATAAATGTCATGTTTTTGATACCTTTTTTCTGAAATTTTTATGCAAATGAAATTTGCTCTTATTTATCAAGAAAGGTATTGAGGTAAGAAATATCCTGTCTTTAGAAGACATTAACAGTGTTTCTAAACCAATCCAATTGCAGCACACTCTGACATTATTTTATGATTTTAGGCTATAACCACCCAAATCTGCTGGCAGCCATGAGGAAACCAGAAAACCTGGTAGGTATCTTGTATATTTCACATAATCATGCTAATCATAGTCATAGTCAGCATTGTTGTTGTTCTTTCAAGGTATTTGTGGGCCGAAGTGGTTGGTAGGTTATATAGTGAAAGCAGTGAGTCAAGAATAAATATGCCAGTCTCTGTTAGCTTTACCTCATAGACGCCTAAGTTGTGTTCGAACTGAACAGCCATTGTGACCAGGTGACTAAAGTACTGACGGAAATGCTAGAAAAATGCTTTTTGACTTATATTTAAAATTCAGAGGTATTACAGTTACTTAAATAACAAATATCACTTCAAGAAACATCTACCTAATGTAGACCGAGGGAATAAATTTTGAGACATGCTCTAAAATGTGTTTTTACTGATGAAAATATCAAAAACTTAGAAAAATAAGGGGTAGTGGGACGTTATTTGATACAAACATTAACTGCCTGTGTTACGTCATCAGCATCCACGGTATCGACAGGTGAAATTGACACCCGAGCACATGCTCGGGCGAGGGGTCATCTCAATAGATGTCTTCTGCAAAATGTTGAATATGTGTACGTATAGTATACGTATTGGTTATGTAAGGGATCATTTGTGTATGTACGAATTACTGCTCATTGGAAAGAATCCTATCACTTGTGTTATCTTATCGACTGATTGTAGAAATGTGCAACGTTTTAATAAATGTTTTGCATGTCAACAGTATATTTAATTGCAAAAATATGGATGTAATTCGGTCAGTTTAATCTAGTTGTGAACATTGGCCAAAGAGTTAACGAAGTCACTGGTGTAGCTTCTTTAGAATATATATATTCTTCTTCTCATAAAGTTTGTAGACCGCCTGTCTAAGCACTCCCTTGTCAAAGTTGTCAACGATGGTTTTACATCCCGGTTTTGCTTTTGAGACGGTCCCTGTCTTGTCTGATGTGTTTACAATATTGTAAACTTGTTGGTAAGACATACCAACAGCTCTACAAGTTCTTTAATAAACCCTTTCTAAACTAATGAAAGGTTTTCCTCTGTCTTTTTCAAGCAGAAAAAACTTATAAACCTTTGCAACAATCGACTGCAAATCGTTGGCCATAGTGGACGCTGTGATAAGATGTGCATGCATGACGGGAAACTTATTTATCAAGACTTAACATTTATATTAATATTTCTTCAATAAAGATTCGATAATTAAGTAAAGTAACACAAACATTCAACATTTATTTGTTTAGGAAAAACGTTAATTCATATTTTTACACCATCTGTATTATTAGCATAAATGTAAAGACTATTTCAGATTTCTGTTGTTGAACACTGAAAAAATCTTAAGTTGCTGTTTTGGTACCAAATTCTCTCCTGTAAACTGCCCTTTAAATGCATGGGAATGTTAAATCGATTGAAATAAAAATTAGGTACACTATAGGCGAGTTGATATATTGACAACATAGTACATTTATCACCTTTATAAAGATATTAAGGCTAAAAAGCATTTTTCTAGCATTTCCGACAGTACTTTAGTCTGTCTCACAGTCCCAGAACCATATTATTTTCCCCAATGCTTAGCCCTCCCTGCAATGCTAAAGCCCTAAATAAAGCAAGTCAAGATTTCCTCAGGTTCAGGAATCTCTGGTCTCACTGGGGCTCCTTTTCAATTTAAATGGGTTTTATGGCTACTATCACAATTATATATATTCAGGGACTAAACGTTAGTCTACCAGGTGACCTGCATTCTGGGAAGGATACTAGGGACTTGTTACAATTACAGGCTACTTTGTGGAAGTGGAACAGGCACCTAGCATTAAGTACAACCATATACCCCTGGCCTGGTATATACTATTCACACTTTGCTAAGGATCAAATCATGGATTCAACAGAAAACTATGATGTGGGGTCAAATTTGGTTTATTGTAAGCATGGATCCTAGGTTTCAGTATATCCTTTCATCTTGTGGATCTCATACCTGCTACTGACAGGTGTTGTGTTCTTGTCAATGACTCGTTCCATGATATGCAAAATGGTTGATTGGTGCCGTGAAAACCATGTTTATGGTTACTCGTGTATGAAGTGCATAAGGTTAGATTAAAGTGGTTGTTTACCTAAAGAGGGGTTACCACATTATTTATCCAGTTTTAAATGGATACAATTTCAAATTATGAATCTACGTTTAAGTACAAATGTGAATTTTTGTGATCCTTAGCAAAGTGTGAGTAGTATATTGTCATCCTTTGTAGATGATATATTGCTGACCACTATGATATACAAATGATATACAAATCATGTAGTCCTGACCTGATATATTGTTATCCTAAGTAGATGATACATTGCTGACCATTGTGATACAGTGTTTGCCCAGATGCAGAAAACCTGCATATTTGACGCACTAAGTATCTCAAATACGCAGTGAATTTAGAAGATTGCGTCATTGTTTGCCAGTTAACTGCTCAGTGCTGATTTAATACCTGACCTGCCTTACCTTGTTTTTTGTTGTTATTAAACAATCACAGTTGGTGTCATGATTAAAGTTCCAAACTGAAGTTGACTCCCAAAAACATGTCCATGACTCCCTCTCATGACACCAGGGAGTCATGATGACTCCTAAATTTTTATGCCTAGGGTAAACACTGGTGATATATTGAAGACATATTGCTAACCGCTGCAATATATTCAAGACATATAGCTAACCGCTGCAATATATTGAAGACATATTGCTAACCGCTGCAATATATTCAAGACATATAGCTAACCGCTGCAATATATTGAAGACATATAGCTAACCGCTGCAATATATTGAAGACATATTGCTAACCGCTGCAATATATTCAAGACATATAGCTAACCAATTGTGTTGCTGCAATATATTGAAGACATATTGCTAATTTCTGCCGGACTGAAACTTTGCGATGCAATATATTCAAGACTATAGCTAACAATATATTGAAGCTGCAATATATTCAAGACATATAGCTAACCGCTGCAATATATTCATAAGACATATAGCTAACCGCTGCAATATATTCAAGACATATAGCTAACCGCTGCAATATATTCAAGACATATAGCTAACCGCTGCAATATATTCAAGACATATAGCTAACCGCTGCAATATATTCAAGACATATAGCTAACCGCTGCAATATATTCAAGACATATAGCTAACCGCTGCAATATATTCAAGACATATAGCTAACGGCTGCAATATATTCAAGACATATAGCTAACCGCTGCAATATATTCAAGACATATAGCTAACCGCTGCAATATATTCAAGACATATAGCTAACCGCTGCAATATATTCAAGACATATAGCTAACCGCTGCAATATATTCAAGACATATAGCTAACCGCTGCAATATATTCAAGACATATTGCTAACCGCTGCAATATATTCAAGACATATAGCTAACCGCTGCAATATATTCAAGACATATAGCTAACCGCTGCAATATATTCAAGACATATAGCTAACCGCTGCAATATATTCAAGACATATAGCTAACCGCTGCAATATATTCAAGACATATAGCTAACCGCTGCAATATATTCAAGACATATAGCTAATTCAAGACATAGCTAATTGCTGCAATATATTCAAGACATATAGCTAACCGCTGCAATATATTCAAGACATATAGCTAACCGCTGCAATATATTCAAGACATATAGCTAACCGCTGCAATATATTCAAGACATATAGCTAACCGCTGCAATATATTCAAGACATATAGCTAACCGCTGCAATATATTGAAGACATATAGCTAACCGCTGCAATATATTCAAGACATATTGATGACCATTACTTTAGGTAGATGATATATTGGTGAACATGTTTTTAAGTAGATGATATATTGTGTACTGCTATGATGTATAGAGAATATATTCCTATGGCCGCTGTGACTGTACATTGTGTTTTAGAATGTCCATTTGAAAGAGAGATGATTTGTTTGCTGGTTTAAAGAACGTTGTACACAGCAGGGCACGCATTAACCTAAATATCATTTTACATGACAATGCAGGTCTCTCCATCAGTGAGAATCAGAATATTTTCAAATGTGGCCATTTTTGATTCTCTTTATTCTATGTTTCCTGTTTCTCACATTCACATTATGTATACTGCAAATATATACACAGATATATTATTCACCCATGATCATCAGATCCTTGCATGTGTAAGGGGCTAAACTCTGCAGACTGCATATCAGTAACTCAGACCTCTTGGTGACAACATGTTTTTACACATTAAAATGATAAGAAATACCTCACTGTTATCATTTCAAAATTAAACAATATTTTTATGAGAGGTACTGAAATATAGCATCCCATCTTTCAGGGGCACTTCATCAACAGACCTGCACTTGGAGTGTTTCCTCCCAAGGACTGGGCTGACAAGTTACGGAATACTCTCTTAACTGTAAGTAATACTTTACTCAGGTTTATATCGTAAGACATGACCAGTGGATTTACTTCTTTTTCAGTCAAATCTTTAGCTCTATCCAATTGTAATAAAAGTTAGTAAGTCATCTTACTTACTTAAGTGAGTAGGTGAGTTTAGTTGTATGCCGCTTCTAGCAATATTCCAACAATATCACGGCGGGGGACACCAGAAATGGGCTTCACATATTGTACCCGTGTGGGGAATCGAACCTGGGTCTTTGTCGTGATGATCGAACACTTTATCCAGTAGGCTACCCCACTGTCCCATCGTAAGAGATTTTTCTGAGTGCTAAATAGTAGCCCCTAGTGTGCAGATTTGAAGGACTGAAAGGGAGATAATTTATTCTGAGTTATAATTGTTTATAATGATGTTTAAATCAATTGCAAAGCTCAAATTACAGTAGGATTGTATTTATTCATGCATTTATCTTATTGTATGCATAATGATGAGGAACTAAGAATCTTAAATCATGAAAGTTAGTAGATGTCCTCTATGCTCTGTGAACATTATCTCCACAGAAAACACTTTGCTAGCTATGTTATAAAGCTGTATAACATATTGTCAGCCATAACAGCTCAGAATGTCCTGTTATGTCTCACACTCTCTGAAAATGAATTCTAGTCTCTGTATGCTTCTCTGACATAGCCAGGCTGAGTGAGGATGATTTTATGCCGCTTTTAGCAATACCCTAGCAATATTATGGCAGGGAATAACAGAAATGGGCTTCACACATTGTACCCATGTAGGGAATTGAACCTTGGTCTAGTCTGACAAACGAACGATTTAACCACAAGGCTACCCCACCGCCCCTGAAGGAGCTTAAGTCTTGTGTGCAAGCTTCACATGATGATCACTCATCATGACATATTTTTGCAAATATTGGGATTTTTGTGTTTTTCTCAGGGAACTCAGAGTTGAAATATTGTTTTATTAAGTAAGTTCACCTCAAATGTATGGCAGCAATGTTCTACAGTATTATATTCATTTTGTCAATTAGTAACATTTTGAAATTAAATTCATATTTGCTTGTACCGTTACACTCAGTATTTATGCGGAAAAGATTCAGTGAATGCAGGCAACCTCTTCTGATAAGTATTGCCATTGACATAAGTGAGTGGGGTAGCCAAGTGACTAAGGCATTCGCTCGTAACATAGAAGACGCAGATACAATTCCCCACATGAGTACTATGTGAAGCCCATGCCTTCGGCTAAAAGCAGGCGTCAAACCATACTCACTCATTCAAAGTGCTGAGTACATATCCCGGTGAGCTACAGTGCTGTGTGCTATTTTTAGCCATTTCAGTTACATCTTGTCCATGTTAGTTCTCACCCACCTGCATCAGCAAATGTTTCCAAAATAATTTTGATGGATGTGTTTCACATCAACCTTAGTTCAAAATAGAATATTTCTTCTCGAGGCAATAATGGCCAATACGATTTGAATGGCCGGACACATCTAAATGTCACAGTCTCCATTATTGGACTCTGTCCTCAGATTTCATATGACCTGCATGATTCAAGTCCAGACACTTTGCAAGACTGACAGAGGATGCTAGAGTGTCGCCAGGCATCACAAACTCCCTACTATTGATCTTCTCAAACCTATCCCTCAAACACGTCTGCTCCTCAAGTGAAGAAATCCTAGGGCCTTTAGATTAAACACAATCAACCAAGAGATTATTGAACATGTGAAATGATTCCCCAATACTGTGAGGAATTTATTGAATTTTTATTGATCTTTGGCTTCATTCTCTCCATACGCTAACGTCCAAGTTTTCGCTGGATCTGCAGAACAGATGCAATTAGATGTTACCCTGCTTTCATTGATTTCCTGCCATCAGCGACAGGTGTTGGTGCCACAGTAAAATTATTTCACTGGAAGAAAGCTGTAGAAGATCATTAGCACAAGGCAATGCTTTTTTTTGTATCGATTCAGGCATTGATTCAACTGTGAATTCTGGATCATGAATCATCTGAATAGCTGTTGTAACAGCCTCGAGGATTTCAAATCCTGAATGCCATGTTAAAATGTGGATGTATCACTGAGAAATGATTGGAATATTTTCTGTATATCTATACTTTTTATATTTGTCAAAGCTGAAATGTTTTCTGTAGATGTAATTGTTTCGCCATACATCAAGGCACACTAACTAGAGAATAAGAAAGATTTGGTGGTGGAATTACGGAAAAGTTTTGGAAATGTACAGATTTTGAGATTGAAAGGGTTTCGCATAGTGATAAGAAAGTAGGCTGTTCAATCTCTTCAGCATATGTGCCATTTCCCATTGCCTTTCAGGTTATCTAACCTTAAAGGTTTGATAGGTGTACTGCTTTCAGTGTGTGAGTGAGTGCGTTTAGTTGAAATACTTTTAAGAATATTCAAGTCATATCAAAGTAAGAAAAGCCAGAATCAAATCCATAAGTTGTACCTTTTGTGGAATCAAACCTACAGCTTTGATGTGATGAGGAACCACTTCAACAACTGGACTCTCCAAACCCCTCCTAAATATCCATGCTTGTCATGAGAACAACCTCTATCTCAAAGTGTGGTTGGCTGGCCCCACATTCAATGGATATGTGCTCATGCTGTCAACCACTAGGTTGTCTGCCCCGTTTGCAGTTATACAGGTTATTGGGTACAAGTACACTCTGGCTTGAAGGAGAGGTCATTCACTCACTGTTAGCATAATAACTTTTAAAGCAAGTCAGCGATTTGCATTCACTCTTAAAGACAGTAGCGGATACTGAGAAACCTGTTAAGATTCAGGTTAGAAATGGTCTTCAGGAACCCATGCAACCCACTGATCCACCATCAATAACTGTCAGGTCTCAAGGTTACATGCCTTTGCAGGGTATGAAACTCCCAAAATATTCAGCCAGACCACAGGGCTGGTTGGATGTAGTGCTTGCCAGCCCTGATCAGAACCTACCGGGCCACAAATAATTTTGGTTTGACAAGCGACGTAGTTTATCATCCATTTGGAATTCATCATTTATTTGAGTGAATTAATAATGATTTATTATCCTGCAATATGATGACTATCTTTATATACATGTCTTAATTTTAAACCGACCGTCGGGCAGGTGAATTTGAGAATCTGCATGTTGACGATTTCTAGTTGTCTGGCTTGTAACTCATAAATCCATAGCCAGGTTTCAGTGATTTGATTCCGTGCCTGAACCTGAATTCATAGAGCCTGGTTTGGGGCCTGTCAATCCTGCGCTCACCTCTTTGACCTTGGATGCCTTGACCAGGGTCAATGGTCGGTAATTTTTGTTTGTTGGTATCTGTGCCACGGTCTGGTAATCGCAAACTGTGAAACATTGAATTTATTGGTTGTTGTGTGATGATTTCACAGTTTCCATCATGCCTATAGCCTGCAGATACTCCTCACATCGTTTTTGAAAGTGAGTGTGAGTGAGTTAGTTTTACGCCGCTTTTAGCAATATTCCAGCAATATTGCGGCATGGGACACCAGAAATGGTAAAAGTGAAACGTGGGGAAATTAATATTACATTTTAAATAGAAGAATCTGGGTCAGCCAGGGCAATAGACATGTCACTGTCAACTTGACAAGGCCATATATGGTATTGTTATTGAATATTTGTCCATAAAACCTTACACATGTTCTGCTCTGTTTGTTCTGATAATGTTATGTCTCTGCTCTAACTGTGTTACACCTAAAAACCTCTACATTCAGTAAACACAAAACGACAGGAAGGTACGTGTATGGGCCATGATGATGACAAAATATGTCAATTATGTCCACTCATACGTGTAAGTGTGACGTGACACAAGTGCAGTATGTGGAACAACTTGGGATATATGAGTGACACACATCTGGACACAGCTTAGTGGTGAAGTGGTTGCACTTGTGATACAAAAACTCCGGCACATGATCAGGAAACAGTATATATTTGTTAGCCCCAAATTAAGCAATGGATAGTTTCAAATTCAGTGAAAATAAATGTTAGTAGTGCTTGGGATGGTGAGAGGTAGAAAACCCTCTGCACTTGCAGATCTCCTGATTGTATGCACTGGCACACACAGGCACACACAGACACAATCAGAGACAAATCCAGACAAAGATGGATGGACAGACAGACAGACAAACAAATGTGCTCTAGAATAAAGAAGTTGACATCCATATATACATGTTCTATCTGACTTTCAACTTCTAAAATGCCTCTCAAAGAAGAGATGGACATACAAAGGGATGGATGGATGGACAGAGAAAGGGATGACTGACATACACACACACAGAGGCACACACAGACACAGACATTCACCCAGACAAAGACAGACAGACAGATGGATGGACAGACAAATGGATGGATGGACAGGTGAATAGAAAGACAAACAGAAATGCACACAGATGCACACACACAGTGACATACAGAGAGACAAAGACACACAGACAGACTCGGTCAGACACACACAGAGTGACATTTACACAGAGAGGAAGACACAGACAAACTCAGTCAGGCAGACACACACATACACAGTGACATACACAGAGAGAGACACACAGACAAACTTGGTCAGGCAGACAGACAGACAGACACACACACAGTGACACAGAGAGGAAAAGACACACAGTGACATACAGGGAGAGAAAGACACACAAACTTAGACACACAAACTTGGTCAGGCAGACAGACACACAGACACACACAGTGACATACAGAGAGACAAAAACACACAGACAGACTCGGTCAGTGCCTCAGTACAGCGTGTAGAGACCTTGATTTTACTGAAGAGAAAAAATCGGTCAAGACATGTAAAGACAAAACTTTTTTAGATCAGTAACATGTTTCAGTTTCTCACAACATTTACATAATCTCCAAAGGGTTTTATGATTTTTATGTCAAGCACTTACCAGGCAGTATATTACCTGTGTTGCAACCGAAAACTTCAACACGTTCAAGGACACCAGTTAAACGGTGAGATGACCCTGACAGTAAGGTTACACTGACCCACAGGTTGCCTTGGTGTATGACGATAATGACTACAGATGAACCCCCGTTCTCTTGAACTTTGGTGTGTCTTATCGCCACTTGTGTCAAACTGACAGTCTGGTCCACGCCCAACTTTTACTAGATTTATTACAATTGTAACCCAGATGTGTCATACTGTTTTTTGTTTTAGTTCTTGTATTCAATTCTCAGCCCTAAGAGTTAAACAATAGTAAAAATTTACTCTAATTAGTTAAAGCCAAAACTTTTTTATGCACTACTTTGCTCGTTTATTTAAAGCATCACATATACCCTACAATGTGTGAAGCCCATTTCTGGTGTCCCCGTAGTGATATTGCTTGAATATTGCTAAAGACGGTGTAAACCCTCAATTGTCAATCACAGATACCCTGCACTCATTATACTGGCTCAGTGTCTTCTTAACACATGTTACCTGTGAAGGTCCGGGTTACAATTGGTCTCCAGTAACTCATGCTTGTCGTAAGAGGTGACTAACGGGGTCAGGTGGTAAGGCTCGCTGATTGGTTGAGACATGTCATCGGTTCCCAATTGCGTAGATCGATGTTCATGCTGTTGATCACTGGATTGTCTGGTCCAGACTTGATTATTTGCAGATCGCCGTCATATAGCTGGAATATTGCTGAGTGTGGCGTAAAACTGAACTCAGTCACTCACTCACTCTTAACACATGTACATCAATGAGGATCTGGTTTAGAATTGGTCTCCAGTAACCTATGCTTGTTGTAAGAAGTATTAACGGAACGGAGTGGTCAGGCTCGCTGACTTGGTTGATGCAGTCATGCTCATGATGTCAATCACTGGATTGTTTGGTTCTCTCTTGATTATTTACTGACAGCTGTCATATAGTTGGAAAATTGCTGACTGGAGTATTAAACAACACAGAAACAAATCTTAAGACATATATATGTAGTAGATATTTACATATTTGCAGAAATCACTTACAGCCAGACAGTTTGATAGACAGAGGTTGTTTACGTGAAGACTTGATAGCTATCATAAACATACCAAAGAACACATTCATATGCAGCTGCAGAACAAGTCTTTATGCTTTAATTTCCATGGCAACAGGTTTGACTTTGACTGAATTTGGTGGTAGTGCTCTGAATAAAATATTTTTTTTCATGGCAACAGATTTGACTTTGACTGAATTTGGTGGTAGTGCTCTTTTCCGGAGCAGAACTTCAACTTTGCCATTGCAGGGGATATTGATGACGTTTAGGTTGGCTGAAGAATACATTTTACCTCAACTGATATGTTTTCTAATCAAAATAATTAAATAAAATACATAGGAGGATATGTCTTGGGTAACCTCTGTGGGTAGAGAATGATGATAGGCATGAGTACTGAGATTTGTTTGAGTGACATTCTAGAAGTTGGTGGTATAGAGATGACAAAACTTTATGGATCATCAACTTTATGAATTATTTATGAAAAATAAAGAAATTGATCATCCATAAAGTTTTGTCATCTACACTGAGATTCAGGCTGCTGGATAATTTAATGTTTTCTCTTCCAGGTAGCTCCACCAGGAATGTCCGAGGTTCAGACAATGGCCTGTGGAGCTTGTTCCGTTGAACATGCCCAGAAAGCGTTGTTCATTGAATACAAGGTAAGCCATCTTGGGAATATGTGAAGTTTTTGGTTTGTATCACAGATTCAAACTTCTCATCCTTAGTTTTTATTTCATGTGACTGAAAGTCAAGTGGTGTGTTGTTATGGTGTGTTGTCCACCATCTTGTTTTTTGGACCAGTTGTTCATCTGCTGCTCATCATTACATTTCGTTGTCAACATTTCTTCTAAGTTACAAGACCTGTGGAGCTGAAAATTTGTATGGGTAATCACAGAGCTTGTGTCTCTGAAATTTGCTCAGAGAATTCCGAGAATTTGATTCATATTTAACCTTCTGTGAACATGATACATATTTGACTTTGAGAGTGAATTTGAGAAAATATGAATGAAATAAATTATTCAGCACTTAAAATGCTTCATTTATCTGGACCTGTGAAGATCTGTGTTGGAATTGGTCTTCAGCAACCCATGCTTGTAATAAGTGGTGACTAACAGGATTGGTTGGTCACGTTCACTGATTTGGTTGGCACATGTCATCATATCACAGCTGTGTAGATAGAAGCTCATCCTGTTGATCACTGAACAAACTGTCTTGATCTGGACATTGGATTTCAATTACCAACAGTCCAAAATATACAGTGTCATGTCCCACTTCCAGTAACACCTGCCACTCTTGACAATGTTTGTTTAACATTTCATCATACTACCCCTTGAAGGTCAAAGTCACTTGAATGAAAATTGATGAGGTAGTTCTTCCTCTTTTTGTGTCCTTGAATCAACAAACATGTGGTTGCATCATACTTATGGTCAGGGTCACTAAACCAGAAAGCATGAATCTTCTGAGAGTACTTTTAGAAAACCAAGACCAATATTTTGAAATGCCTCCAAATTCAGCTACCAACCAGAACACTTCACAAAAATATTCTCAAACAAGTAAAATAATTGTAATTTGAGTCTATTCTTCATTAAATCCTCAGGCAAGGCAGCGAGGCGGAGCACCCCCAACTGAGGAGGAGCTGAGTAGCTGTTTGATGAACCAGGCCCCTGGAAACCCTGATCTCAGCATCCTCAGCTTCAAAGGGGCATTCCACGGCAGAACTATGGGTTAGGGTGCATCAAGAAGCATCAGCATTAAATTCCTGCAGATATTTGTTGTTTTTCTTTAACTGAGTGAGTGTGGTTTTGCAACATATCTAACAATATCCAAGCATCTGGAATAAATCAGTATGGTTGGGAGACACACAGTGTTCCAAGAGTGGTTTTACTTGTGTTTGTGCCAAACCCAACCCATCTGGTGATTTGCAATCTCTCAGCTTTAGATGTGTTTGTACTGATTGGACTCTTGGAGTCTTGGAGCTCTTATGAGCTCTTGGAGTCAAAAGAATAGGAACTGTGCTGAATGCAGGAAATTTTAGTTTCAAAAGATTTATTGAGTTTAAATTTGTATTCTATTTTGAATGCTTCTGTTTATTCTGATTGATTCAGATGGTCCTTCCTTGACAGTACAGGCCACGTCCCCAGTTGACATTCTGATTCCATTACTGTTCCACAGGTGCTCTTGCAGTAACACATTCAAAAGCAATCCACAAACTGGATTTCCCAGCCGGATTGGCCGACAGCCTCCTTTCCAAAGCTGAGATATCCCCTAGAGGACTTTGTGCAGGAAAACAGGGCGGAAGAAGACAGGTGCTTGGCAGAGGTCAGTATTATATAGCAGGTGTTTGTCAGAGGTCAGTATTATATAGCAGGTGCTTGGCAGAGGTCAGCATTGTGCAGCAGGTGCTTGGAAGAGGTCAGAATTATATAGCAGGTGCTTGGCAGAGGTCAGTATTGTGTAGCAGGTGCTTGGCAGATGTCAGAATTATATAGCAGGTGCTTGGCAGAGGTCAGTATTGTGTAGTAGGTGCTTGGCAGATGTCAGAATTATAAAGCAGGTGATTGGCAGAGGTCAGTTTTGTGTAGCAGGCCAAGGTTGACTTTTCAGAGACTTGATATTAGGTTGATGTGAACTATATAAACTGTATGTGACTTTGTTCAGTAGACTGTCAGTATCTAATAGGAAACACCATATCTGGGCTTCAAAATGTTCATCTCATTAAGGGGCGTAACCATGACATTTGCATTAAAAGGCCAATGCTGAAGCCATTGGACTAGGGTTGCTCTGATAATAGGAAGTCTTGAAGCTTTTAATATTCTATGGGGACAAGGGTTGCCCTAGGTGTCAAAGGTGCAAAACAAGCTGTGCAGTGTCATTTAGGTGCAAAATAAACCTATTATCTCATCCTTGATTTGCCCTGATTATGTTTCTAGTGATGTTACCACTAAACCTGTAAGGGGTTTCACTGAAGATCTTACAGCTGCATCAAATCAGGCTTCTCCTTTACTTGACAGACATTTGCATTCATTGATGTAACTTAAATATTGTTCAAAGCAAGGTTAAACCAACCTTGTGCTCTGTAATATTCCCTGTGAATGAAGACATGAAAGAAGGCCTTCTGTGTGAGAGACCTGATAGACATCTGAAAGAAGAAAGACCTTCTGGTTCTGACCTATTGTATTACTACGTGTACAGGTTAGAGATCTGATAGAGAAGTACCAGAAGAAAGGCCTTATGTTTGTGACCCATGTGTTACTACGTGTACAGGTTAGAGATCTGATAGAGAAGTGCCAGAAGAAAGGCCTTATGTTTGTGACCCATGTGTTACTATGTGTACAGGTTAGAGATCTGATAGAGAAGTACCAGAAGAAAGGCCTTATGTTTGTGACCCATGTGTTACTATGTGTACAGGTTAGAGATCTGATAGAGAAGTACCAGAAGAAAGGCCTTATGTTTGTGACCCATGTGTTACTAAGTGCCAGAAGAAAGGCCTTATGTTTGTACAGGTTAGAGATCTGATAGAGAAGTGCCAGAAGAAAGGCCTTATGTTACTATATTGTACAGGTTAGAGATCTGATGAAGTACCAGAAGAAAGGCCTTATGTTTGTGACCCATGTGTTACTACGTGTACAGGTTAGAGATCTGATAGAGAAGTGCCAGAAGAAAGGCCTTATGTTTGTGACCCATGTGTTACTACGTGTACAGGTTAGAGATCTGATAGAGAAGTACCAGAAGAAAGGCCTTATGTTTGTGACCCATGTGTTACTATGTGTACAGGTTAGAGATCTGATAGAGAAGTGCCAGAAGAAAGGCCTTATGTTTGTGACCCATGTGTTACTATGTGTACAGGTTAGAGATCTGATAGAGAAGTACCAGAAGAAAGGCCTTATGTTTGTGACCCATGTGTTACTATGTGTGCAGGTTAGAGATCTGATAGAGAAGTACCAGAAGAAAGGCCTTATGTTTGTGACCCATGTGTTACTATGTGTACAGGTTAGAGATCTGATAGAGAAGTGCCAGAAGAAAGGCCTTATGTTTGTGACCCATGTGTTACCTATGTGTGTTACAGGTTAGAGATCTGATAGAGAAGTGCCAGAAGAAAGGCCTTATGTTTGTGACCCATGTGTTACTATGTGTACAGGTTAGAGATCTGATAGAGAAGTGCCAGAAGAAAGGCCTTATGTTTGTGACCCATGTGTTACATGTGTACAGGTTAGAGATCTGATAGAGAAGTGCCAGAAGAAAGGCCTTATGTTTGTGACCCATGTGTTACTATGTGTACAGGTTAGAGATCTGATAGAGAAGTGCCAGAAGAAAGGCCTTATGTTTGTGACCCATGTGTTACTATGTGTACAGGTTAGAGATCTGATAGAGAAGTGCCAGAAGAAAGGCCTTATGTTTGTGACCCATGTGTTACTATGTGTACAGGTTAGAGATCTGATAGAGAAGTGCCAGAAGAAAGGCCTTATGTTTGTGACCCATGTGTTACTATGTGTACAGGTTAGAGATCTGATAGAGAAGTGCCAGAAGAAAGGCCTTATGTTTGTGACCCATGTGTTACTAATATGTGTACAGGTTAGAGATCTGATAGAGAAGTGCCAGAAGAAAGGCCTTATGTTTGTGACCCATGTGTTACTATGTGTACAGGTTAGAGATCTGATAGAGAAGTGCCAGAAGAAAGGCCTTATGTTTGTGACCCATGTGTTACTATGTGTACAGGTTAGAGATCTGATAGAGAAGTGCCAGAAGAAAGGCCTTATGTTTGTGACCCATGTGTTACTACGTGTACAGGTTAGAGATCTGATCTGATGAATAGAGAAGTGCCAGAAGAAAGGCCTTATGTTTGTGACCCATGTTACTACTGATGTACAGGTTAGAGATCTGATAGAGAAGTGACCCATGTGTTACTATGTGTACAGGTTAGAGATCTGATAGAGAAGTGCCAGAAGAAAGGCCTTATGTTTGTGACCCATGTGTTACTATGTGTACAGGTTAGAGATCTGATAGAGAAGTGCCAGAAGAAAGGCCTTATGTTTGTGACCCATGTGTTACTATGTGTACAGGTTAGAGATCTGATAGAGAAGTGCCAGAAGAAAGGCCTTATGTTTGTGACCCATGTGTTACTATGTGTACAGGTTAGAGATCTGATAGAGAAGTGCCAGAAGAAAGGCCTTATGTTTGTGACCCATGTGTTACTATGTGTACAGGTTAGAGATCTGATAGAGAAGTGCCAGAAGAAAGGCCTTATGTTTGTGACCCATGTGTTACTATGTGTACAGGTTAGAGATCTGATAGAGAAGTGCCAGAAGAAAGGCCTTATGTTTGTGACCCATGTGTTACTATGTGTACAGGTTAGAGATCTGATAGAGAAGGGCCAGAAGAAAGGCCAATCTGTGGTAGGCATTTGTGTGGAGCCCATCCAGTGTGAAGGGGGAGACAACCACGCAACTGCATACTTCTTCCAAGGTTTACAGGATATTGCCAAAGAGGTGAGTGAAGGGAGACAATTAGGTATAGCAAATGTGGAGTTGGACAATCTCAGGTTTGTCAGGTCCCAACTCAATCTATTTATCAGGCAATCAACAGAATATATTGCTTGGTGCTATATTAAACTACTAAGTAATGAATATATCATATTGCTTCAGAGTTAACAACACTATCTGGTGTGTGTTTCAATGGAATCCAGAATAGAAGATGATTTTGCTAAAATGGCAGAAATTGACTGTAGATTAATTTGGTTTTTTAAATTATGTTTTACAAAAATGAAAAAAAGAGAGCCAAAGGGTATTTGTTCTTCGTAGCAAAAAGTAAATAAATTAAGGCATACTGGATTAAATAAACATGTATGTGATGAAAGAAAAATGGTTCATAGCATTGCCACTTGCATAGACCTTTACATTGTTTTCTGATAATGAGAATGCAGTCATATTGAAGGTTTCCAACTGACTGTTTTCGTGAGATATTTAGGTTTGTTAATAATCAGATTAGTCTGTGATTGCAGACTACTGACAATAAAAACAAATACCTCATTGCATTCTCACAATGGTCATTACTTCATAGTTGCAAACCAATATAAGTTGTGTGGATGTCATCACCTGTTAGATGTAACAGATAATTAGTTGTGATGTCAACTCAGTGCACGGTGTAACAGGCTGATTCCCAATTTGAAACAACCGAGGATTAGGTCGTCTTGTAACTTGAGATGTAATGTGAGATGAAAGGCAAGAGTTAACTCCCCTTATACACATTCGCAAAAATTATCACAACTTTCTATACTATTCTCTTTGTCACTAAAGGATTGTAGTTCATTCCAGAACTCTGTAGAAATATAGCGCACCACTTGAAACATTGTTACACAAATAAATACCACTGTCACATAACAATGGTGATAAGGCACCTAGCACTGAGAAAGTATGAGAAAGTATGGCTGGTAAAAGTAAAGACAGTTCTAGAAGTCAGCCATCTGTGAAGTGATCATTCGATTTCATTGTGACTTTATAATTTACAGATTTGGATGCAGGAAAGACTTCAGAAATACCTGAATATGTTTGTTTTGTAATAGTTTGTTTTGTCATCTGTAGAAGCTTGTTAGAAATACTTCACCTAATGTCTACTCTGATGACATTACCAGAACACTATCGGCCTGATGTTTGATGAAGTCCAGACTGGTTGTGCAGCCTCAGGGAAGTTCTGGGCCCATGAGCACTGGAATCTGAGGGAGCCCCCAGACATTGTGTCCTTTGCCAAGAAGATGCTGACAGGGGGATTCTACTACAGACAGAACTACAGACCAAAACAGGTGCAGATCCTTGCCATCATAGTTTCACAGTAATGTGTGACACACATATTGTTGCAACAACAATTCATTGATAGTACATTCATCTACAGAGCAAATCCTAATTGTATTAATATGTCCATGAAATGGGATCTCTTTAAGGTTTTGTTGAATCTGAAATTTCTGATTATTCTAGTGTCCACTGCACACAAATTTGACATTAGATATTATTGTCCTATGAACTTCTTTCAAATATACATTTCAAATTATTTAGCACATGAACGTCAAAGTCAAGGTCACAAGATGACAAAAAATAGTTCATGTTACACTTTCTAAAAAATATTAATGTATACTTCACAAAACCTGGCTTATTTCTTCTGTAGAATGGGATCAGGGTTTAAGAGCTTTTGATTAAGATTAGTCAAGGTCAGTGTTTATTTTTTTCATAAAACATTGTTATATCGGTTTCTGAGGCATCAGTACTGCTATATGATTTTGTTGTTGGATGTATCATCAGAAATACTTGAACTGAATGTGTGTGGCATGTGTCTCAAGGTCAAGGTTATCTTGCATTATAAACCTATGGTCAATGTTGTCTATTGTTCTTGCAGTTGCTTCGCATTATGCAATAACCTCGGTAGAGGTTTTAACGATTGCAGGAGGTTTTACAATGATCATTGTAAAATGGTCTTTGTAAAACCTCATACCCTGATATGAGGTTTTGAAATGACCATTAATTATGACTGATACAACTTTGTCTTGCTATGACTGATCGTAAAATATCTCATTATTGAAAACTTCCAATATTTAGTGGCTATAACTGGTTTTGTACCCGCAACCCATCGCTCTCTAGCTTGGCGGTTTTATCCACTATGCTACGAAGGATCGCTGTGAGGAATGAGATTGTTTGTCGGTATGAACCATGTGTTTCTCACAAGACAGGTACTGCGGGCAGCGCATGTGCAGGACATGGGTAGCGCATGCAGAGCACGAGCATTGCGCGTGCGGGGCAAGGTGTTGGCTGCCAGTTGCATCCCAGTTGACACCGGCTGTTCCATCATTTGCGGGCTGTTCCATCAATGTTGTTCTACTCGTTTCAGACTGTTTAATTTTCAGAGCTTGTTTGAGTAATTTTTGTTGTCTTAAACGGTTTATAAGATTGATAAAAGACTCCTCCTCGGGTTTGGTGGAGAATGTAAAACCTCAGTGTCAGGAAATCCCTTGGGCGCTAATGCGCCCTTGGGATTTCTTTCCCCTGAGGTTTTACATTCTCAACCAAAACCTCGGAGTCGTCTTTTATCCTACACATATATTCTAACATCTGATACCTGCATTCACTCTAAGCTGACATGCCATGATATAACTGGGATACTGCTCAACTCACTAACTCATGGTGGTTATGTTTTGCTATCTTGTTTCATCTCTTACATTCCACATCACAGATCGCCGCCTCCGTGGTGTAGTGGTTAAAGCATCCGCCCAGAGAGCGGAAGGTCGCTGGTTTGATCCCCGGTCGCGTCTTACCAAAAGACGTTAAAATATGGTACTTGTTGGTCCCTGCCTGGTGCTCGGCATAAATGGGTAAAACAAGGACTGGTCGGATCGGAGTCACTATGATGTGTCTGAGTGGGGTATTCCTGCTAAACTGCTGCATGGTATCTCAGTGAACTAGCAGCTGGCATGTCAATCACTGGACTGTCTTATGCAGACTTGATTATTTACTGATTGACCTTATGTAGCTTGAAATTTGCTAAGCATTAAACAAAAACATGAAAACGACATTATGTGCATTGTTTTGTTATGGTTCAGTTGGTAGATACAAAAGTTAAATCCAACACTATTGTTGTATTGCTTGTTTTTAAGAGGGACCTAACTGGACTGGAGGCGTCATGTGTGTCCTTGCTTGTCATGTACCCTTATGGCGACGGGAGTCGATAGTATAACAACCCCTGGAATGTCATGTGAAACAACAAACATTTCCATAAAAGAGCTCTTCAGAACAACATATTTGAACAAAAATCACACAGTAATGATTGAAATGGCAGGCCCATCAGTTAAAGTTGAGTTGAAAAGAAACTCCTGTCTGGGACAATTAGAAACCTGACAATACGACACAGGTGATGGGGTAAATATTTTGTACAAGGCAAGTTTCTTTAACTTTTCTACATTACAGGGTTTTCGTATATTCAACACTTGGGTTGGTGACCCCTCCAAGGTGACCTTGCTGGAGGAAGTGGTCAAGGTCATCCAGAGCCAGAACCTTGTGACCAACATGGCCAACTTAGGGGAATACCTGCAGCAAGGGCTCAAAGATGCACAGGTAGTTCCGTTCAGTTGAATCATTACCAGTATATCGAAACTCATATCTTCATGGTTGAGGGATAAATCTGTCAATGCAACACATTGTCCATACCTCAATATCTGTTCAATCACAAGTTGATATGGCTATAATGAATAGAGCATATGAAATAATATTTGAAAAACTGACAAGATTAAATTCAGGTACCTTCCTGAATTCATGAATAGCTTAACCAGGGACATGACATTCGTCAAAATCATTATAACAGATAAATGGAAAATATACGAGTTTTACATTTCATCGACTTCCTGTAATATTATATATATATATTTGATATGAAAATACACAACTGTGAGATTCTATTTATCTTTCAAATTAATTCGTCCGAAAAATTAACAGTAATGAATTGTCTTGTGTTTAAAGATTAGAGAAAGTGATTCAGCTGCAGAGATTAGTGCTGTCATTTGATTGTATTGTCATGGTAACTGATGAAGTTAGAATGACCACTGTTATGCAGTGAGATGCAGACCAAACCCATGCAGTGTAACCTATAAAAGCAAGTGCTGGATGATAAACTTTGACTTGCTTCACCACTGCAAAATTCTACTGCAAATATTCAACACAAACTGCATAATGGCTAACCTTGAGAAGAGACTCTTGCTGTCAACAAGCCTTCAAAGATTTCAATTCTAATTCTTGTGGATTCAGACCAAGTTTCCTGGGGTGGTAAAGAATGCCAGAGGCCTTGGAACCCTGTGTTCCATTGACTTCAACAACGCTGCCGCTCGGGACAAGGCACTCCTGGCACTCAGAGGGAAAGGTAATGATACAAGATGCAATCATCAGGAATGGGGCAAGCTGCAACTTATGAACATGTTTATCTTGTTCAAGTCAGTGATGTTATTTTACTAAAAGCAACAAGGCATAGGGCATAAACTTTCAGTGGATGTAATGTCTCTGAGAAGATTTAGTTTGTTCAAGGCATCACTGTGTATAGTCATCGTCACTGCCTGAAATAATGGAGCAAAAACACTAATTTTCCTTTCCTAAGATTCAGAAATTTCACCATTTTTTAAAATTTTTACCAAACTACTGTTGAAATGAGCCACAGGGCCTACTTTTTGACACATCTCATACTACAAGACCTAAAGTTAAAATTCTGCTTGAAATATATTTGCTATGTTGTGTTTAAAATATGCTGACAGAATTCCAGTCTGATTTAAACATGACATCATTATTTTTTCATAAATCAAGTGAGACATCTAGGTCTCTTTTATAATTGTATGCTGGAGAATACATAGATCACTGTGGGTATTTATGTGGTTTCTCTTTCAGGAATCCATGTTGGGAGTTGTGGTGATGTTTCCATCCGCCTGAGGCCAACTCTGATCTTCCAGAAGAAACATGCTGATTTGTTTTTTGATTGTTTTGATTCCGTTTTGTCTTCAATCAAATAGATATCAGGGAGTGTTCAGAAATTCCTAATAGCTATAGAACCAGCGATACCTTTCTTTATTGTTTTCAGATCTACCAATTAAAGGAAATAATAATAAGGCATAATAAAGAAGTTTGACTGCATATATTTGTTGACTGCGTATGCTTGTTGAGAAATGTTAAATTGACAGACTAATGAAACTGTCTGAATGTCTTTGAAGAACAGTAACATCCCCCCCACACACACACATTGGTATTTCTCCAAACAATGAAGGCCATGACCATTAAGGTTATCATGGAATTTTACAAGATTATAACTTAAATACTGTAACATAGCATAATACTTTTAGTATTGTTCTGTCAACATGATAAGCAGTATCACGAGAACAAACACAACACAATGCGAAAATGTGGAAGGAAAGCACCCTGATAGCAATGTTGTGGAAGGAAAGTCTAATGATGGCAATGTTGGTCTAACATTGGCCCAACTACTATTGAATGCCTACTTTGAAGTTAAGGTAACAATATCCGGCATGCGCATAGCCTGGATATGGTAGGTAATAACATCCGGAGCTGCGACCCTACCACAGATAATGTAACCAGTGTAAACACTGACTCGGTACGTGGGAATAAATTGTTATATTGCAGATAGTATGACTAGTAACATAGTACATGAATTATGCATACATTAGACTGGAATAACGGTATGATGTAGAAATATTGTATGCCATTATACACTGCACACCAGACGTGGGAATAAATTGTAATACTGCATATAGTATGACTAGTAACCTAGTTTGAATTACGCATCCCTTAGAATGGAACGACAGGGTACGATGTAGAAATATACCTAGTATGTCATTATAAACTGCACTCAAATGTCTCTGAGTTATAATTTGTAAATCAGAGAAAGAAAAAGACCTTTTAGATCTTTTTCCAATTAGGTTGGCAAATGTTGATGTTTCTATCATGGAGTGTATCTTTAAAAAATGGCATCTCTACAAATCCTGCTCAATTGTGACTGAATATGTTTGCTTTTTCAACGTTTTTATCAATTACTTAATACTTTATGCTTATATTAGCAGGGCTTTGGTGGAAAGTTGTTTTGCATTTGTTAATATTTGTGTAAATATATCCTCAGCTCAGAAGCTTTGGCTAGGGAATTACGAAAATTGTTCAAAACACAAGTGTACAATTCTTTGAAATCCATTTTATCTTCTCGATAATGAATGTCCTGTATACAGACATTCAGGTTGTACTGCTTTATTGGTTCTGTGGCGATGTGGGTCAGTTGTGTCGCCATTTATATAATCAGCTGTTACATGGCTTCTCACACTAAACCTATGGAGAATCGAACCCAGGTCTGTGGTGCAACAAGTTAACACTTTAATCACTTGGCTATTATACTGGCTCCACTATCTGGAATGTGAACGAGGATGTCAGCATGGATCATGGTTGATACGCTCAAGCCTTGCTTCAGATACGTAGCTGTATGGATAATATTGTCTTGTGTATTCCATTCACTGTTCCACAGAAGTACTGTTGAAAGTCTTATTGGTATGTGAGCTGGGTGAGTAGTGGTGCAGTCCAGGGGAGTCATGTCAAGTATGTGAGTCATGTAATTGGTATCATATGAGTCATGTGATCTGTGTCATGTGAGTAATGTGATCAGTCTTGTGATTCATGTGATCTGAGTCTTTTGATTCATGTGAGTCATGTATTCTGAGTCTTGTGATCCATGTGAGCAATGATCTATGTTATTCATGTGATCTACATGAATTAGTGAGTCTTGTGATCCATGTGAGTCATGTGATCAGTCTTGTGACCCATGTGAGTCATGTGATCTGAGTCTTGTGATCCATGTGTGCAATGATCTATGTTAATCATGTGTTCTACATGAATTAATGAGTCATGTGATTCCATGTGTGTCATGTCTGATGTGAAGTATTTGAGTCATATGACCCTCATTCATCAGGCGATCTGCGTCATGTGATTCACATTGGTCACATGCTTCATGCAAGTCATGATCTATGGTAGTCGTGTGTTCTACGCGAGTTGATACACTATCTGTTCCATCTGTCTCATGTTGGCATATGATCCTCAATAGTCATGTTATTTACATGAGTTGATAGGCCATGTGTTCCATGTGAAATAAATCATGTGATCCAATTTAGTCATGTGATCTGCATTGGTCGCATGATTGATTTTTAGTCATGTGATCTTCTATTGACTGGGATGAAAACTAGGTTTGGTTTTAAACTTGGGTCTTTGTCAGTAATATGGCACATAAACAGCCTCTACTGGTACTGGTTGTATATTCTGTTCCTCTATGTTTAAGGCTTTCACAAGTATTTTGATATACAGGTATGTCTCTCTTACCTTAAACAGGTAAGTGTGTGATCTCTGAAGAAAATGGGCAGCTGATTGAGGACCATTATGTTTCTCAGGTCAGAGTTTTGTACAACTTGACAAATCTGCTGAATAAAAAAAATATGTGGGAAAAACATAAACAGGTTAAAAATCATGATATGAAAAGAAATCTTTTTGATATGAATATAAAGAAATTGTTCAAAGGCACTATATCACACCACACTTATCTAAAAATGAATAATGCATTTCTCTGAACAATACTAACTATCAGCTCTTAGGGAAGCTACCATATAATTTATTCCCAATAAGATTAGGTATTTAGATTGCAATACTAAATTAAAGTTTGAATGAATTTATGCAATGTTGCATTAAATCAACTCTTGCGCCCGCTACTGGTCGGTCATTTTTTGAAGCAAACACCATAGAGTTATGTCCCTTAGAGTGCTCTTTATGAATATCCTACGCACAACTTGTGATTGAAACCAGTTCAGCAAACACCAACAACACTGTGTGTGACAGTTTACGTTGTATGGAGCAATTGTTTACATTCCATATATGGCAAGTGTTCTCAGTTTGAAAGCTGTTCACCTCGAAGTTTCAATTATCGATTTCAGGCAAGTCATAAGGGATAATGAGTCTTTTATTGCATCAGAAGGAAGTTAAAGTATATAAATATAAATATATATAAATAAATATATATATATAATATATATAAATATAAATAAATATATATATATATATGATATAGGCCAAAATATTGTTGAAAATGCATGACATTGTGCCTTTAAAATACTATAATTAAAACCTGGGTTTTTCCCCCTCACGTTTTTTTCCACACTTACAATTTTCAGGACAAAGGAGTTTCATTGCTGTCAGCATTATCCTGTTTGCCAATATTGTATTAAATTATTCTCATGGAAAACATTTGACCTCAAGTTTTGAAAATATTTGCAACTCTTCTGCTTAAAAGTACATGGTTAAATGGTATCGGCACCTGGTAGCTGTTGTTGCAGACCACTAGAAAAAAAACACACGAGCAATATGCATTCTGGAAGAAAGGGGAGATAGGACAAGTGCACCTGCCTCCTCTCCAGGCATACTTAGTATGTCTCAGGTCTCAACTGAAAATTTCTTTGTGTCATAATAGTGTAATCAATTCCAAGAAACCGTTAGACAGGGATTTTCACAATGAACATGACCATGTATGTTTTTATTGATTTATCACTCTTTGAAAAAAAAAAGCCTGTTGACACCTTGATATGTTCACTTAAGGGATGCTGTACAACTCATGTTGTGTCCATGGTTGGGAGGAGTTGTTTTTTGGTTGAAGCTGTATGTATTATATATTCAAATCTGTCTTGTGGATTAGTCTGCATGAGTCATCAGCTGAGCAATATGATTCTGTATTGTTATTTTATTATCTTATTGACAGACTTTGTCCTGCTGTTGCAGTGAATGTTATGTAAAGAATGTTGAAACTACCTTGTGATACAACAGCCAAAATTTTGTGTGAAGAGTTGACCTTGCTGTTTCTAGTCTCTTCAAGTACTGAAGATGGAAAACAGTTCATTTGTGTAACTCTTGAGAGTTGGATTTATATACTACACAAAGAAGTTAAGGAACAACTAATTCATTCACATTACCCTAGTACTAATCCTGGTTTGTAAATTTTTTATTCTACTCAAAGAAATTAAGGAACATCTAATTAATTCACATTACATTAGTACTAACTCTAGATTGTTAGAATGATATACTATTTAAAGGAGGTTAAGAAACACCTAATTCTTCCATGTAACTTGTGAAATGAAGGGATTTGATGTTCTGTAACTTCTGTTGAGTAGTATATATACTCAAACAAGAAGGATAACTGTGATCATATTCTTATGTAATGTTGAGAAGCACAGGAGGCATTATATTTTCCATTTCTTGGTTTGCTCACAAACTGAAAAGCAAGGAATGTGGAGTTCCTGTTTTAAGGTGTTGTTTTAATGAATGCTGTTTATCATGTTAATGTTGAGTCACACACAAAAAACCATGATATCATTAATATGCTTTTGACCTCCAGTGACAATTCAAATTTAACATGTTCAGTACACACATGTATTTTTCTGGTACACTTCTGAATAGAAAATCACTTTAGTACTGTCGGAAATAGAAAAAAACTGTTTTTAGGCTGTTACTCTGTATCCCTAAAATTGACACAATTGCAAATAGCATATGTCGAAATAACCCACTTCGGCCTAACTGGGCGTTCAGTGGGATGCGTAATACGATATCCAGAAAAGCATGTTTACTCGTAAAATTGGGCAAAACTTAGAAAAAATACGAATAGCTGCTGAAAACAATAGATCAGACTATAGATGACAATTAGGTCGCTCAGCCAGGTATGATGACGGACCGTCGACTCACCTGGCATGAAATGAACGTGCTGCCTACAGGCACAAGGGGTCATCTCAAAGATATTTTGTGCTTTTTCATGTGTGTTGACTATGTCTCATCTATTGATTAACATCTTACGTGTCTTTCTTTCATAAAGTTTATGTTGAGATATGTAAGAGAGCATGATACCAGAAAACCATAGAAATACATCGTAGTATATAGGTGGCATGACCACCCGAAGATTGACAGGACTGGATATTATTTGTAAATTGTTATGACGTGCCGTGTACCTCCCCAGTATAATTGCCCTAAAGGATTATCTTATCTTAGCTGATATCTCTATCCCCAAGCCCGACCCCAGGTGTTGCTTTTGAGGCGACCCCTCCTATCTGTTT